CTACTGTCCCAGGGATGGGGGAAACTTCAAAGTCACTTTTGGCTAGGAACAGCCACAGCAGCAGGAGCCGCAATGGGCAGCGGATGATTTCACCCTCCCTGTACCTGTTTCGGGCAACGGGGAACCCACACTCCATCCCATCATCACTCCTGGTACTATTGCTGTTCCTAGCTGAACCCAGCTGCCGCACAGCTTACCTGTGTGGCAGGAAGGAGTAGCTTTGAAGCTTCCCCAGCTACTGTTACAGCAGTGAAAGCAGCAGGTGGGGGGAGGGGGGAAATAGGAGGAGAGGAGGCAGGCATACCCTTGAGCATGGAGAAAAAGAGGGTGGCTTCTTACTTGCTTTGGGGACTTTAAAAGTAGTCTGCCTGCACTGGTGGGGAAGGAGGCTTGGATCAGGGGTGCAGTCATCACTATAGTGCAGGTGATTGCTCCTACAGTCCCCGCCCCACTTCCCCTTTGCCAAAATCTGAATCTGCCCCAGTTATGAATTAAGCAGAAGTAGACACAGCAGCTCCTTCCAGGGATGTGACTGGCTGTGTACACATCACACTCCTTAGGCTCTTAGGAAAGTAAATTTATACTGGAAAATAGAGAACATGACAACAAGACCTCAAGAGTCCAGACATCTGCAATATTTGAGTGATGTAGTTATACAAGTGTGTGATCCCCAGTGAATGATTACCAGTGACAGAACACCTACACTGGGATTGCATTAATCTCTACTCTTAAACCTGGTTTATTTAGTGGAAACTAATATGGGATTTAATATTCTCGCACAAAGCGTAATAAATGTAAACATGTTGAAACATTGTTAAACATGCAGAAATGTTAATCTTCACAGAAAATACCTTTGTTTAACCACTTTTTCCTGTATTTCCTGTCTCTTGTGTAGCTTTTTAACATGCTGTATACTGAAACTATATGTTAGTTTGTAATTATTCTTCTTTTCTATGTGTTTTTTTTTAAATATATAAATCAAACACATTGGAAATTTAATGTTTCCTAAAAGAGTGAAAGTGCATCATTTATATCACTGTAATTTATGTTACAAAGAAACATACAATTCAAATGCATAGAAGACCCTTTCTTTTCTTGTGTGCTTATATTGATTTGTGCAGATTATTTCAGTTTGATCACTTGTTTTCTTGAAGAAGTCATTTATTGCAAAGGGCTATCTTTGAAGATCAGCTCAGCATTAAAATGTAGCTGAGCAACTCTCAGTTGCCTCATTAGGGTTCAGAAGGTGTTAACAGTTGTAAAGGCCTAATTAGTGTAAAGTAATCCTCTTAAGGGGCTGCAAGCACCGAGCTAGTTTTCTTTATAATTTGGATGCAGGCCTTCTTTATTCCAATAGAATTACAATAACTAAGGACTGCAGTATGTATTTGCAATCTGTGCGTCCACATAATGTGTATATTGTATGCTGAAGACTGCACAATAAATGCAGAGGTAGAATTTTTGATTGTGTATATGAATGCCAAAATGTTTGGAAGAACAGCTAAATCTTGGCTTTATAACTGTGCGAAACCTACCAAAAGAGAAAATGGGAATAGGAATAAATGGCTTTCTGAAATCCTAATCAATCACCGAGAGAAAATACTGGAAGAGCTGGATGTGAGTAAAGTGCTGTCATACTTGGTTTACGAGAGAGTCTTTTCCTTGGAGGAATATAAAGACATTTGGTCTCAGGAGAGCTACAAGAAAAGAGCTGAATATTTTTTAGATAAACTCTCTTTAAAAGGCCCAAGTGCTTTCTCTGCTTTCTGTTCCATTTTGGAGGAGGTCTATCCCCATTTGCTGACATGCTTTCTCCTTGGCTATAAAGGTAAGGTCACTGCCTGCTCTGGAATGCTCAAGTGCATATTGGTCTCTGAATTCTTGGCACTAATAGCTGTTTGCTATAATTAGTGTTTACTTTCTTACTCATACCACATACTAGAGTGCATTTGTTCATGTTACGGTACCTTGTAGTAAAAGGGAAATCCAAGGGAACAAAACTCTATGAAACAAATAACATTTTGCTCAAGTGGTACATTTCAGTAGCACTATATTATTGTTCTAAAAGTGATTTTTTTTACTACAGTATTCTGCATCAGAATTCAGCTGTTGTGTGGCATAGTAGTATTCTTGTATACTACTTATGTATAACATTAAGATTGAGAAAATAATTCTGTGGAGTGTTACTAATAATACTCAGCTCACATCTATGATTCTTATTACCTTAGTCTTAGTGGTATAGTCTTATACTTTAGTACATTAAGAAGTTTTATAGATGTGGAGTTCTCACTTATACTTCCCTTTTAAAATCACAGTTCTTACTGTGAGCTATGCTATGTAAAACCTTTACAACATACGTTACAAGAAAAATACAGCATTACTAAATATCCACATTACAAAGTCAATGGGAGTTTTGTTTGAGCATTGGGTCCTATACATACCTAAATGAGTCTTGGAAGTTTACCAGAAGTGAGTAAATATTGATTTAATATGGAGTTTTTACAAAACGTGTCCTAATACCTGGGATGTTTTTAGAGTCTTTATAATGCCAGTTAATTTTAGCTGTCAGATAGATGGGAATTCTATAACTACAGGATTGTGCTGAAAGATTACTAGTATATACAACATGAAATTTTAGAATTTCATTAAATTGTGAATACGTTTCTCTAATCAAATAAAGAATTGAGGATTCTCAAGATGACAACAATCTAAAAGGAAACAGTAATAAATCTGAGCATATCTATTTTAAGCAACATAAATATATTGCAGGATTATATAAAGAAAATCTGAAGTCATTTTGACCTTTGAAATAACTATAACCATGCTTGAAAACTTAATTACTGTTAAAATTGACAGTAACAAATTAAATTATGCAATAGGGCAACATACAGTTTACCATAATTTACTTATGAACAGATGTCTTCTTATTATAGCTTTTTATTATTGATTTAAAGGTCTGTTTTATGGCAGTTACAAGAATATAAAAGCAAAAATTAGGTTCTTAAATGTCCTTGTGGATTTTGATGCATGCAAAATGTATTTTATAGACTGCATTCATTTAAGAAAAAGGTCCATTACACACCCTGACAAGATGGTACCAATCCAATATCTATTTAAGACTATACAAATCGAGGCATAAAGAATTATAAATATGCTGCAGATTTTCAGGATGTGCATTTTGCATCACTTTTTGATTCTCCATATAAGAAACAGAAAACAGGGAGATTTTTCTTCCACATCAGCTGAAGCATTCTCAAAGGGGCCAGCCAGAATGTAAGCTTAAATGCTTCTTGGGGTCATAGTTTGAGTGGGCCTGGCACTGCTACAAGGAGTGATGGCCAATACATTTAAGGGTATCTCAAGGGCTCTGATAACATCGCAGTATGTGCTGGAAATAAATGAAAACACACATCATGCATATTTCCAAAATAGTAATGGATGCAACTGAAACGGTTTCCCAAGCCATGCTGCCTGCTTTTGCCCTGCACAGGCAAAAGCCTCAGTCTACCTTAGCTCAGCCACGATTGTTCTAGTTCCCCTGGCCCTTTCCCGACATTCATCAGATGTACGAAGGCATGGTTTTAGAATCTGTCATTGAAAACAATGATCTACTGATAGAAGGAAAAAGAAAAACACAGGCTACATGTTCAAATTAACATACATAAACAATCAGTGGCCTAAAATGAAACCAAAGATAAACAATAATATGGATTTTCATGTATAAATCTTGCGTTGTTTCAAATGAATTAGTTAATGGATGTAACAGCAGTTCAATAGTATAAGACCTGTTACGAAGAACAGGGTGCTGCTGTGACTGTAGGATCTGATAAAAAAGGATGTCATTTAATTTACCTGGAGCCAAATTCTTTCCCCTGCCCCTGTGTAAAAGTGAAAGAACAAAGGAGTGGAGAGGGAAGAAATACTCTTTTGCAGTCTTAGTGCGATGGCCTCCTCACAAGAATCCCTCTAGTGCTGCTGTAGAGAGGCAGCAGTAAGCAGAAACAAGGGGATAGCATAGCTTCTCTAAGACCTTCACGCTCTCCTGTATGTCCATCAGGACACTGGCCATACTTCTTCATATTGGGCTGTCCTTACCTGCGAGGTAAGGCTGAGAGATTTGCTAAATAGCATCATGTACAATATATATATTTGGACACAGTACAGCATCTTCACTACACATTTAAAGTCAGACCCTCAGCTCAAGTCAATTGGCATAGCTCCATTGACTTCACCTGTGCTGCTTTCCACCCATTGAGGGAACTAGTCCAGGTTCTTTATGTTAAGGCTTAGGCAGGAGGGACAATCAGCAACAGTAAAGGGAGAGATGATTGTGAAATGTGAGGTATAATCTCTACAAAACTGATCAGCAATATTTTCAGAGGAGCAAACTATTGTATGTAAAGCAAAAACAAAACAAAACAAAGTAACCAGTACAGTTTAAGAAAAAGTAAAATTCCTGGCTACTAACCCCTGGATCCCATTTTGATTTTTGAATAGCATTTTCCCAAAAAGCATTTCAACTTGTTCCCAAATCATTATTGTCTTGCTGCTCAAAAGAAATAATGAGGTGATAGTTACTAGAAATATGGCACATTTCCAGATGAGAGGTTACTCAGTCTCTGGATTAACTCCATTCACCGTAAAGACAGTAAACTGTGCCAGTGAACTGTGACCAGTAGGTGATGTGTACTATTGTTCATTCATAAGTGATTTACCACAGTTCTGAATTCCTGTCTTGTTACCTCACAGGGGATTACATCCTGAACAGCATAAGAGGTGTTAAGGTGGTAGTTATTCCTCAAGTCACTTGCAACCCAATCCTCAAATCCACCTCACACAAAATTTCTATTGAAATCTGTAGCAAACTTCCATTGACTTTAGTGGGAGTAAGACCGGGCTCCTGCTTTTTGATAGTAGACATTAAGAAGCCAGTTTTTCATTGGCTACTGGGAGTTCAGATGGAACAAAGAATGCAGAATTTATCCCCCCCAAATTCCTCAAGCATTAGTTCTGCCATGTGTCTTTCAAGGCAAATATAAATATTTATATGGAAGCAATTTTACTTCTTTGTGACACTTCAGAAACTGGACAGCAATAAAGCATATAGCAGAACTGTTCCCAGTAATCCAAAACCTTTACTCTGACAGTGAACTACAAACCAGCTAGCCTGGAAGAACTTATGTAAGTCTACTCTTCTGCTTTGCATTCTTTTGTTTGCAGTTAATGATACTGCAATTTATGTTTATTGTAGAAGAAATCCTAAAGATTTACAGCTGATCCAAATCTTGTTGAGGTCAATTGGAAAGATTCTTTTAGAATTAGTACTATCTTATGAACATCAAGTGACCTTAAATTACATGGCAATTGAAAAAAAGTATCAATTTACTTCTGGCAGTGCTCTATGACTAAGATTGCTACTCTTTCTATTTTTAAAACACTGTAAAGACCCTTTACACTAGCGTAGTACTAGCCTATCATTTGCATGTTTTGTAAATGAATAATTTACAAAATTTTTCATTTACAATCTATTCCAACAATCTATTGCATGAGGGCACAAGCTGTACCTACCTGGCAAAATATAAAATGTTTTGCTGGATCATAGCCTACATATATTTATTTCAGTTACTCCATCCTTCAAGAACATGTTAGTTGAGGGAATAAAAACGATAAACACTGGGGTGGAGTGGGGGAGAGATAAAAAAAAATATAGTAATTGATGTTTTCTGAAAAATAGATAATTGCACACCTGCAGCATCACAGCCAACAGGCCGTCAAACAGCAGGTGTGCCTTTGAGCTGTTTAGCAGCAAATTAGATCAATGTTTTTATTGTTATCCAGACCAGATGCAGAGAAGTTTCCCAGACTTGTCCGAGGAAACAAAAATGATGGCTGTCTCAGAAATGGAGCTGCATGAAACTTGTGAGACTAATGACCAGGAAGGAAACCCTTCTGCTGAGGACCCAGTGAATCAATCATTCAACAAATACAGGTTAAAATGACCAATATTGTTAGTTTAAAAAAATCCATCATAGTTGCTGCTGTTTTGTCAATTTCTGTGTGTATTAAATAATACACAGACTCTCACAGAACATTTCTAGTTGCATTTGGGTTTACATGCTGTTTGTGAAATATGATAACCTATAAAGATAATTTTTGCTTTAACCTTAGTGAAAGTCCTAGGCCCTCATAACTTGGTAGTTTGCAAGTAAAAACTTCCTGCATACACATTACCAGTATTATAATTACAATAATTGTGAGACAGGAAGGAAAAAATGACAAGAAGGGCAAAAAAAGAAAAAGCATATGGGAAATGTGTTGCCTGTACCTCCTTCTATAATGATGTAACACATGCTGATACTATTAGTTTGCAGTGCCCAGGAGGAAAATAGTTATATGGAGAATAGCTATTATTCATGCTACTTTAATATAATTAATAAACTTAATTGTCAAAGAGAAGGAGATACAGAGGCTAACTTTGGCCCAGTGGTCAAGATACTCATGTGGAACATGACATTATTAGGTGCATATCACCGCTTCGGTTAATATAACATATACAAAATGGAACAGCTCTAACAGAAGAGACTACTCTACAATAGTCAATAGTTGGGTGGTTAAAGTACTTCCCTAGGTTGTGAATTATTGAGTTGAGTCCCTGCTCCAGAGCAAGGATATGAATCCAGGGTGGAGACATGCACAATATTGTAAAATCCTTGATTAGCTGTTCATTTGCAAAGACTGCATTTGGCTTAGACATACTCAGAGCTAATGCAGCTGTCGCTCCGCCAACACAGTTTTCACTGGGGCTCCATTGCTGGGAATTCAATGGCAGGTCCTGTACCTGCTCACCAAGCCCCTAAATTCCTGGTCTCTCTGTGGGCCCTGCAGGCTGGTGAATTGCACGTTGGCGGTGTCTCATCTGTCCTGTACTACCTCTAGCATGTTGTAGGGCAGGGGCAGACAAAATACAGCCTATGGGCTGGATCTGGCCCACTAAGCCCTTCTCTCCAGCCCACGGGGCCCCTAAAAAAACTAGAAAATTAATTATTATCTTCCTGTGGCTGCCTGTTAAAAACAACAAGGCACCAGCAGCAGCAGGACCCAGGAGGAGCTGGTGGCAGGCAGCAACAGCAAGGCCCACCTGACCCTACCCCACCCCCTAGCAGAGGCTTTTGGCTTGGTGACCCTGGGGCTGTTCCCCCACCCTCCCTTTGCCTGAGAAGGAAACCCAGATAAGAATGGGAAGAGTGGGGGAGGAGGATTGCAGGCACAGCAGGAGCCAGCCCAAGCCAGCTGGCATCACATGGCTCCCAGCTACTCCTGCTGTGCTGTGTGGTTCCAGCCTTGCAGCTAAGAACCACATAATGCCCAAGCAGTGGGCAGGCAGGGCTGGGAGCAGCAGGCAGGTGGTGGGTAGCAGGTGGGCAGAAGGAGAGCAGTGGTGGCAGGTGGGAAAGGAAGGAAGTGACAGGGGAAAGGCAGCAGTGGCAGGTGTGGTGGGGAAGGGAAGTGGCAGTGGGTAGGAGCACAGGGCCCTGGGACCAGGGCTGGCAGCAGCAGGAGCCAGCTAGGAACCCTGGGGGCCAGGCTGGCTCTTGCTGCATTCTGCAGTCACAGAGTTGCAGCTGGGAACCATGTGCTGGTGGGAGGTACCTGGCCAGGCCAGCTGGCTCTGTGCTGTGCTGTGGCAGTTCCCAGCTGCAGCACTGGGACCCATGCAGCATGGCATGTAGCTGGCTGGACTGGCCCTGCAGCATGCGATTCCTGGCTGTAACGCTGGGACCTGTGCACAGCCAGCCTGGCCTGATGGTGCACTAGTGCTAGGAGCTATGGGGAATCCCACGCCATCAAGCTGGGCTGGCTTATGAGGTTTCTGGTACTCTAGCTGGGAGCTGCACATGGAGGCACAGACCCAGAGTCCTGTAAGCCCCACCTTGGGGCCAGGAACCGCACAGTGCCCTCTCCCACACCCCACATACACACACCCCCAACACATACACCCACAGCAACCCAAAAAACCCCATACCTACCCACCCATACCCCCACACCCCTCCATGATGTATAAGAATAAGACTTCATTTTGAGCTATTATGCAGTCATTTCCATATACCCAACAAAACACACACAAATCAGGACAAAAATATTTTTTTAAATAAAATGTTATTTTAGACGTGTGATTTTTAGTATACAATTTAGGTGTTTTTTGGTTGGAGGATGGTAAACACCCGCCCCCCCCCCACCCCCAAAAGGAACACTTCTGGCAAAAAGAGGGACTTCCAGCGACAAAGGTCAGGGGTGAGACTTCCAGTCCCAAGATGGCAACCAGGGGGTGGGGCAAGGCTATTGCCTATTGAGGGGCAAGGCTACCCTTGCGGCCTTCTACAGCTCACCAAAACGTGCTAAGCGGCCCTCCAGCTGAAATAATTGCCCACCCCGTTGTAGGGTGTTTCTGGTGTTCTTGTTTGTTTGTGTGAGAGTTTGAAGTGAAGATTTTGGGGACTCCTTGAGTAAATAGTGGCCTGAAAAATCAAGGGACTGGACTTGATGGTCCAGAAAGGCCCTTCCAGTCTCATGTGCCTAAACAGGGAGGCTATGCTCAAGCTAATCCATACTGAAAATCCTTAATAGCACTAAAAAGCCCCAGCATAAATTGCACCACCTTTTATATCTACAGACCCTTCAACACTCAAAGGAACCTCAGCACAGAGCTGTAATTCACAGGCATTTCAAGTGACGAGAAATTCTATCACGTACTAGAGACAAAACACTAGCTAGTTTGGAGTGTGTATGAGAAGGGAAAAAGTGCTGTGGGTTATACTTAACCCAGCACTCAGGCACCTTAAGTGCAAAGGCTGCTGTGGCCTGAGGTGCTCACAACCCTGAAGGCTTGTAGCTATGTCTCTACATGGCCACAAGCATGGTCACAAACAGGGATCTAAGAGCCAACCTGCAATATGGGTGGATATCTGTAATGCACTGGAGAAACAAAACTGCCTAGAAGAAATATTTCCCACAAGTGGACCAATAACCTGACTCAAAATATTAATATCTTAAGCTTATTGCATGCTAACTCTCCTATCCCTCCACCCAAGGGGAAAAATATATTTGGCAGCCAGCCTCTGCTAGCTCTTTTCTAAGTGTCACACCTGCTTCAGCAGTTAGAAAGGGAACCTTACCCATCCACTACAGTGTGTGTGTACGTGTGTTTTTATATAAGGGAATGAGGGAGAATTGATTCCTAAGTGCTTGTAACAATTTATGAAAATGGCAAGCCCACTTTTTAAGAAAACAATATAGCTGGAAGTCAAGCAAATGTGCCACCCACACAGGCCTGCATAAATTCACACAATGTTAAAAACCAAGGTAACAGTCTCCCTTACCAACAAGGCAACCAATCAGAAACAGATGATCTTGTCCATAAATATATCAGTGCAGTAACTGTGGGTTACATGAAGGCAACTAGGAAAAATAAAGCAGTATGATAGGAAAAGAAAGAGTAAATGGAAAGACCTTCCCTCCTCCAATATATTTACAAATATTATTTCTAATTACAAAAAAAAAAATCCAATAAGGCGTGTATGTGCTGAAGGCCAGAACCTGCTCCTACTGAAGTAAGTGGCAAAAATCCAAATGGCTTTAAGAAAGCAGCATAGTGGCCCTAGTAATAGGAATAAGTAGTATGTGATGATGGGTATGTGAAGATGGGGATTGCACAACTATTCTTCTATTGCTTCAAGGTGGTCAGCCCTGTGATATTTATGTGCACCTTACATAGTTACAGCTGGGTCAATAAAGAAGAGTAGAATCACCATGTTCTTGTGCTGCATGCAGCTCAAAAGCAGTGACTAGAGTGGGATCTATCGTGCTTGGTTAAGAGTCCAGTATTACATAGCTCAGTCAGTTGAGAAGCTAAATACATTCTTCTTGCAACACATATTTGGGTCCATACTAAACCAAAATTCTAACCAGGAAAGGCTGCAGAGGTGAGAAATTGCTACCAAGAATGTCACCCAAGCTCCACTCCTGGGACGGGGAGTTCCAGCATTTTCAGACTTACTTATACATTGTTGGAAGGGCAGAGATGAAAAGTCTTTGAAGTAAACTTAGAGTAAGTAGTTCAGGGCTTTGCACATTGCAGCCAGCACCTTGATCTTCATTAAGCAGTCAGTCATCTCTCTGAAGGGCCTTACACAGAAGTTCAACAGGAGCTGATAGGATTGTATCCTGGGAGACTCCTCATCTCCCTCCCATCTCTGTCTGCTTTCCTTCTGGTTATTCTCCTCATCTGTGTAGATGCCACTCTGTACGTCTGCAAATCACCCTTTTTTAGAGGCATTTTTTTGGACAGATTGTGGGTCAGAATTTGGGGTGAGACTGGATCTGCCCCCAGTTTCAGGTATCTCCTTCCTCTCTGATTACTCCTGCCAAGTGGAAATTTGTAATCTCGACTGAGTGGGAACGAGGATTGCACATGGGGACACTGGCTGCCAGAATATGAGCTCAAATTAGCACTGATTTCACAGATCTGTTTTGTTAGCTTGCTTTGTTATCTGCAAAGCATCATTGCACATTCAACCCTGGGCCTGTGAAATTCGCACTAATCACACAAGAGAAAATGTTTTATTTTCCTCGGGGTCTGTGTCTTTCCTCCTATTAGACAACAGTGTTTGTTCTCTCACTGTTTGAGGGATAAAGGTCTGAAGCCACAATTCTCATTAGCATTAATAGAATGTATGTGTGTCAGCCCCTCCTACATGAAGAGAAGATTTGGTTTGGAAAATTAAAAATGGAAATAATATTAAAACTGTGAAAATTAGATGCTATTTTTACAGATACTATGACACTAACCAGATAAGCTCACATTTTTAGAAACATAGTAGATTTTATATGCAGCTTTTTATTTCCATGCAAGTGATGTGTATATATATTTATGTGGAACAAGATAATGCATGTAAGATTTTTTTTTTCATGCAAAAAACACTTCAGTTCTGT